AATTGGAGAGGGGGCAGATTCGGGAGGGAAATTGGAGAGGGGGCAGACTCGGGAGGGAAATTGGAGAGGGGGCAGATTCGGGAGGGAAATTATAGGGCTGACAAGGGTTAAAGCAAAGACAGCCATGGGTAACAAATGGAAAATGTGAACAGAATTTCTGAGATTTTCAGGCTTGGCTTGAAAGGTCAGTGCCTCTGTAAATGCAAACCGATGGTTTGTGTTGTGTCAAAGTGAATCTAGTGACTCGCATGGATTCTGCGCCCTCAGGGCTGACCTGCATCGCCTCTAATGCTTCCTTCAGCTGCTGCTTCTCTGGACGGTCACTCGAGTGGCTGAGCAGCTCCTAGGAGAGAAACAACATTAACTCAAGATGACCATCTCTGTCCCTCAGCAGTTTGACACAAGTCTCAATGACATCACAGGCTTGAGTTGGTGGGACGAGGATCACCAAATCGGTCAGTGCAAATTCTTCCCAGTTACACACAAGTAGTTAGCGTATCCAGATGTGTGAACCTGTGACCTCTGACCCAGGGTGTGTGATCAACGGCTCCAGCTGATACATACCTTCAGTAAGAGGTGATACTTCAACACTCGCTGCATAGGCACCACCAGCAGATCTTGCAGCTTAAACTTCCCATCCTGAACTTTCAGGGTGCACTCCTGCACAAAGAAAACAGAACTACTCACTGGATCACTATCAGAAACATGCAGGATACAGCACCCTCTGATTCGCGCTCTCTCTTGCTCTCTCTCGGTGTCCAGTGAAGCTGTGGGAGGAGGAATTACAGACTCACAGCCAGATCCCAGCAACTCCCAGACTGGGTGTGAGAGGGACAGAGTAAGGGCTGATGGGCTTGGGGGATGGGGGGGTGCGGTGTGGAGGGGGTGAGCTATCGCAAACGAGGGTGGGGTTGGGACTGTGCGTAGGCTGTATGGGAAACAGAGAGGCCGCGCGGGAGACAGGGATGGGAGAGCTAACATAAGAATTACTTCCATTGCCTTCCATCACTCCTATATCATCTCTCAGCCCCCTCCCCCAATTTCCCCACCACCCCAAGTCACAGCCTATGGGTTTATTTACCTCAATTTTACTCCGGATTTCCTCTCGGGAAGACAGGAGTTGATCCAATGTCTTTTGGGAATTTTCCATCTGACTGCAATATTTGCCATAAATCAACAGCCTACAACAGAAACACAGATTTGATCAAGGGGGTAACGAGGGGCGGGGGGGTAACAAGGTGCAATGTGGGACGCCTGGAGCATTTAGGGGTTAACAAGTGGCAGTGTCCTCTTGTTCCGACAGATGGAGTAGTCTGTCAATTTCAATGACAGAGACAGTATTTCCCTGCTTCTATGAGCACACTCTCAGTCGCAGTAATTCGATGTGGGACAACACTGGGCCATTTCCAGTTTATTAACATAGACCACTCAGAGTCACAGACCATAACCACCATCGAAAGGAGATACAGTCAGTCACTCACTCACTCCAGATTTATTGATTTTCTTTGTGAAAAGGGGAGTGGATTGGATAACTGAACTGATGGTGCTCAATGGGATAGGGACCACTTTATCCCCAAAGAGAGAGTCTGATAGGGAGTTTCTGAATCAGGGAATGCACTCATATTATTTTATTTTAAATTCATTCACAGGATGAAGGTGCTGCTGTCCAGGCCAGCATTTATTACCCAGAAGAGTCAACTTCATTGGCTTTGGGTCTGGAGTCATGTGTAGGCCAGACCAGGTAAAGAATGGCAGTTTCCTTCCCTGAAGGACATTAGTGAATCAAATGGGCTTTTCTGACAATCGACAATGGTTTCACGGTTATCATTAGACTTTTAATTCCAGATTTTTACTGAATTCAAATTTCACCACCTGCTGCAATGGGATTCAAACCCGATACACTAAACATCAACTGGGTCTCTCAGTCTATCACAGCCCAGTGATAATACCACTAGGCCATCACTTTTCTAAGCTGCATTTCAAAAAACCACTCCACTACTCTCTTAAGACCACTCCTAAGTTGAACCCTTTCCTATCTCATGCTTTCTGCTATTACTTCAGATTTCCAGCATTGAGCTTCCTCTCTGATAGCCACACCTTGTATTGTACATTGCAGAACCCTCTCACAAACCTGTTCCTGCTACAAGCCACAGGAAATCACTGACTGGGGACAAAGGGTTGGGAATCTAACCTGGCCTGTACCCTCTACTACAGGTCAATGCAAATGGTTCCTGCACTCTCTCAGAACACATATTAGAATCACGACCTAGGTGAGTAGAGGTTCAGGGTATTAGCACAACCTATGCCTGTACGGTCCCTGAGCTGAATCCTCTACCATTACCTTCCAAACTTGGAAAGGTTGAACAATGGCCCTTAAACCTGTGACAAATTTTGAATGAGGAACATTTACGAAAGAGATCATGTTTTGTAATCGTATGGTCGCTACCCCAGCACAACACCTCTAATCCCCGAGCCCACTGCGAGTGCCTGAGGGACATTTACAATTCACAAAGAAACACTGCCATCACCTAAACTGCAATCAGCAGTTTCTCACATCACACACAGAAAAATAAATCCATCTTCCTTATGATTACTTCACCAGCTCTCAACAGAATACAACTCGGTTGTTTCTTAACATGGCAGCAAACCTGCTGAGCACCAGTGGGTGACATAGACTGACCCACGGTGCACCGATCAGTGGTCGACACTAACCGATTGGATATTGCTGTTATCAGATTCTTCCCAGTGACAGTCCAAGAGAATCCAGAGATCATACTGAAGCAGTAAATACAACATGCTCAGGATAGTTATGAGGGAAGCTGAAATTCCCAATGAACCTGTTAAATCTTTGCCAATCTGTTGTATTGACATGTGATAGGTATTTCAATATTGGGCAATTATTTGGATTTTTCATTCTTTGTATGTTTGGGAATTTACAGGGAAATGTGAGACTGCAGGATGGAGAATGTCACAGCCAATAAACCCAGGAAACTTCCACTCGAATTGAGAAAACACTTTCATTCTAAGATCAGCATATTCCACAGGGATTGGTGCTGGGTCCACTTTTGTTTGTCATTTATTTAAATGATTTGGATGAGAAGATAGAAAGCGTGATTCATAAGGTTGCAGAAGACACCAAAATTGGTGGTATGGTGGACAGTGAAGAAGGTTACCTAAGATTACAAAGAGACCTTGATTAATTGGGTCAATAGGCTGAGGAGTGGCAGTTGGATTTAATTTGGATAAATGCAAGGTGTTGTTTATTCACCAAAATGCAAGGGCAGGACTTATACAATTAAAGTAGGGCCCTAGGTAGTGTTGTAGAACACAGATACCTAGGGGTTCCGGTACATAATTCTTTGAAATTTGCATTACATGTAGACAGGGTGGTTAAGACAGTGTTTAGTCTTTGAGTATAGGGGTTGGGATAGTTGTACAGGACATTGGTGAGGTTTCTTCTAGAGTACTATGTGCAGTTCTGGTTGCCCTCTTATAGGAATTATATTATTAAATTGGAGAGGGTTCAGAAAAGATTTACCAGCATGTTGCTAGAAATGGAGGGTTTGAGTTATAAAAATAGGCTGCTTTTTTTCACTGGAGTGTAGGATGTTGAGGGGTGACCTTGTTGAGGTTTATAAAATCATGAGGGGCATTGATAAGGTGAATAGAAAAGGTCTTTTCCCTAAGGTGAAGAAGTTTAAAACAAGGGGGCATATTTTTAAGGCAAGAGGAGAAAAATTTCAAAAGGACATGAGGGGGATCTTTTTTTGTTTACATAGCAAGTGGCTTGTGTGTGCAATGAACTGCCAGAGGAAGTGGTGGATGCATTTGGATAAGTACAAAAATAGGAAAGGTTTGGAGGGATGTGGGCTAAACGCAAGCAGATGGGACTAGCTTAGTTTGGGAACATGGTCAGTGTGGACTGGTTGAACCAAAGGGTCTGTTTCCAAACTGTATGTCCATGACTCTATGATCTGCTCCATGACTGCAATTATTGCACAGGGTGAACCTGTGAGATGCTTCCATCACAACACACTAAAACATTGCACATCAACCATAGGTTTTTCTCACACACTCTCCAGAATGCCAAGCTTGGTTAATTTGAATTGCAGAACATCAAAAGAATATTATCACACAATAGGAACCGACTGTGAGAGAGGTAGCTGCACTGACTCTGATACAGAGGTACAGATATTGTTATACTAACACAGAGAGTAAGAGAGAGAGAAAGGAGGAAGAGAGGGAAGAGAGAGAAGAGAGAGGTGAATGAAAGGGGCAAGGAAAGGGGGAGAGAGAAGAAAGGGGGAGAGAAAGGTAAAGAGGAGAAAGATGAGAGAAGGAGTGAGACAGAGACAAAGAGAAAAAGAGAGACCCCGAAACACAGAGTAAGACCAAAATAATCCCTGACTTTGAGAGTTCTTACCGTTCTTTGAAATCCAGGAAGACTTTGTAGAGTGTGTTCCCTCCTGAGATTGCTGCCAAATCAATGGCTCTCAATAAATTGTAATGCACCCAAATTAATTCCTGGAACAGAGAGAGAATGGTTTTGTCAAGAGAACGGAGATTTTGCCACAGCCTCTTTCCAAATGCTGGGAAGCTGAGGTCACAGACCAAGAAACAGAGAAACTAGGAAGAAAGTAGGCCATTCAGCCCATTGAGACTGTTCTGACATTCAATATGGTTTTGGCTTATCATACAAGTCAGTTCCCTGCTGCCGCTTTCTCCCCATACACTTTGATATCTTAGCCCTAAGAACTATATCTAATTCCTTCTTGAAAACATTTAATGTTTTGGCCTCAACCGCTTTCAATAGCAGAGAATTCCACAGGCTCCCCACTTTCTGGCTGAAGACATTTCTCCTCATCTCAGGCCTAAATGGCCTATCCCATATCTTTAAACTGTGACCCCCTGGTTCTGAACTCTCTGGTTAGTGGGAACATCCTTCCTACATTTAGCCTGTCTAGTGCTGTTAGAATTTTAAATATTTCTGAGATTCGCCCTCATTCTTCTAAGCTCCGGAAATATAGTCTCTCTACAGAAGTCAGTCCTGCAGCCTCAGGAGTCAGTCTGGTAAACCTCTGTTGCATTCCCTCCATCGCCAGACCATCCTTCCTCAGATAAGGAGTACCTAAAGACTAGAATATGTATTTTTATTCATTCACAGGCTGTGGGCTTGAATGGCTAGGATTCCCAAATGCCCTTGTGAAGGTAGTGTTGAGTCATCTTCTTTAAGTAGAAATAAGCATCTTGTCAGATCAGGACAGATTGCAGTTATGAGTTAACTACTCTGCCATGGCTTTGTAGTCACAGGTAGACCAGAGATTTTTCAGAATAATCTGGCTGCTTCACTAAGGTCACTTCACACAAATTCACAGAGGGCCACAAGCATCTCCTTTCACTGGAGAGAGAGAGGGAGATTATACAGCACAAGAGTGAGAGGAGGCTGTGACCCCCTGAACTACCACAGCCAGGGGGAGGACTGAACCCTCGCTGTCAGTACCATTCTACACCCTGATCTTGCTAACTCAGGAAACAAACTCCCACCAATTACTGAATAACTGGAACTTTAAGTTTCCCAGCTGCTGTGGTGGGATTTAAAGTGCATTTATGCATTGCTGCCACAGTAAGATTAACACAATCACTGCTACAATATCCACTCTTTTTATGGCTAATAAAAAATGGGAGAAAGTCATACTTTTAGAAATAAAACAGGAATCACGTACCTCAAGGTTGATGAATATAGCCTCCATTTCCTGGGGAGTGAGGATAGCCTTTAAAGGGATCATGTAATTCTGCAATCGTCACACAAAGGAAGTGTTTTACACAGCAAGAGGAAAGGGAAAATAATTCACAATAAGCCATTCTCACAGACGACACTCAGTCAGCCCCTGAATAAACACAGACCTCTCTCCTTCCAAAGCCCCCACAAAACCAACTGTAACAACATCCACATCAGCTTCATCGACACCAGGACTTGCTGGAGTCAGCAGCCACCAGAGACAACCCACATTCTGATCAGTGAATTCAAATGTCACTACAGCAACTAGGTCCATAACCCAGGCTGAAAATGCCATTGCAGCGCTGAGGGAGCGCCCACTGTCAGAGGGTCAGTGCTGAGGGAGCGCCGCACTGTCGGAGGGTC